AACGAAAGCGAATAGTTACAATCGGTCATTTGGACTTCTCTTTTTCAAAATGCCGACATCTCCGAACGCTTCAAGGAATTTACTTTGGCAAGTTCCCAAGAACAACAAACTTAAAGCATTGGAAATACTCGTTTTCAATGCCTAGTTAACACCACGTTCTTTCCGATCACTTTTGGGACGGACCGTTACGATTATGGCGAGCAAGTGATCGTGATTTTGCTGCAAAGGTCAAGCATGTACAGGTCATGCGTGTTGGCGTGATAAGGGCAAGGTTAATTTTGGAAATTTTTCCAAAATGTTTCATGCTCAATTACTTCATTTTTAGCTTCCCGTAATGCAGTTGTAGAGATTACGTCAATCATTATTCCTTTGATATTCTATTGGTGATCTATGCAACTGTAATAAAGTTAGAATTTGGATTGGTGACCTTTTATTAAAAAACGAGTAAAATCGGCATTTAATCTGGAAGTACTATTCAAATGTAAATATCATCAGTGACGTTTTGATGTTCAGATTATTTCATAGTATTAGCTCACTCCTTTTTTTGTTATTATTATTATTGTTCTTTTAAAGCTACCTGAAATGCTGTTGGTTGCAAATGAAGATTTAGAATTATGGTGCTAAGGTGGAAAACAAGAGAAAAACATACTTAAATATGCGTTGAGTCAAAGAAGGTCATTATTCAATAACATCCGTTTGAACCCGAATGTCTAAACAGGAAGGAAATAACAAGTGAAATTAGAGAATGAAAGATGTGATGTAGAAGATAACCTAAAATTAATGTCGGCTTCTTTGTAAAGGCAATCTGAAAATAATAATGATTTTAAGACCCTGATGGGTTGTTGATGCAACAGTTTGATCTTCATACGTCCATTTGAGGTCATGTACTATTTGAGATTCAGAAATAACAGTACTGTAAGTGGTCTAAAAACGTGAGTTTTGCGCATTTCGTTATTAGGTCGGTGCCCCACAGTTACCTACAGCATATAGCAGTATGGCAAACAAGCTTTTTAATAGTTAGGTCCCTATATATCTGTACTTCAAAAAAGTAGTTTTTTGGTTATCAGTGAAAAATGAAAAAGTCTAACTTTTAAATGAAGAACCCCATTGCTGTGAGGTTAGTACGCAGAAAAAATCAATTTGTAATGCGGCATCTGAAAGACGGCATAAATTTTAAACTGACAGAAGTCAAAAGGAATTCTCATGCCGCATGTACATCATTACTTCTCCTTTGTAACTTGCACGCTTTAGAAGTTGAAACCAAGGTAACCAAAACCTTTTTGACTAATGGTATTGCTTGAGTGTCCATTGCACTCAATTTTATATCCACTAAGCAAATTAGGCGCCGGAACTTATAGTTAGGTCCGTCATTTGTCCTATAATTACTGTTTCACAATAAAAAATATCTTGCTTAAAACGAACAGGAACTACTGTACCAAAAATTTTAACATCTGGAAAAGACATTCACAGGGCTAGATTATGGTCACGAATGTTATATTACTGTTTAATTCTTTTCTAGCTTCAGCTGTGACTTTTGAACACTGTAACCGTATGATGTCCATATGGAAAATTCAAGTTCCTTCCGCCTTACTTCTGGACTTCGACAAATGAGTTAAATTTTTTGTTTTCCCTAATTCCCAAGTTCTTACAACAAGAAAAAAAACGAAGCTGAATTTTCAAGTAGCGCTGGTGAACACTGAGTGACATACGGGGTCGAGTATTTTTGCGGAAGTCAGAATCACTCAGCGGATGGTTCCATCAACTCAACTTCCTCTGTTAGATCAGGGCCGGCCACAACACCAAACCCTTCTCAAAAAAATAGCTGATATGCACAGGATTTTTAATATTTTCTAATAATTCTCTCCCATGGTTTCTTTTTGCATATTTAATATGGTGAGGAATTTCATAATAATAATCTATATATACAACACGGTCTCCTCAGTACACTGACACGTAAAGTGCATTAAAGGCGATTTAGTAAATGGACCCATCCCTATCGGCACATTTTCAGTTGTCGAATTTTCACGACTAAAACTACCTCTTCAGAGCTTGACGGAATATAACAAATGTTTTACTTTTTTAAAATAGGTAATAAGAGGTATCACAAAACAATAAAAATGAAATGGTGATTTTTAAAAGAGCCATATCACAGTTAAATAGTGCCAAGGAGGAATTATACAATAACAACGTAAGAGGGAAATAACAAAACTTGAAGTGCAGTATTCCAATAGCTCCGTAGAAACATTGCAAAGTTTCTTCTGTCGTTGTAGCAGAAATGTACTACTCAAGGACGACAATAGACCAACATATAAAAATGGAGCAAACAATTACAATTTGAACCAAAGGTACGAATAAAAGACAGGATATTATACAAGTTAATAAGTGAACAAACAGATCGAAGATAAATTCTCATTTCAAACTTTAAAAATATGACAAGGAGAGAGTGCTAGACAAAAGTGCAACTTTTTTGTGGGTCCAGTCATTTGATATAGCAATACCTAAAGAATAAAGCTGCATCTTGTGGCTTGGCAATTCTCTGTCTTTCGTTCGAGACAATAATTAAAAATTCTGATCAAAATACTCCGCTCACGGAGAAAATCACGAGTAATTTTTGGGTTAAGTTTAAAAGTCCCACAAAGATTGTTCCCCTTCATCCAGATTGAAATCAATCTGAGTAAATGACGGGTGAAACTTTTACTTAATCACATCCACTGTTGGATACCGATTGTTAAAACATCGGAGCAAATTCGGCACACTCGAACTGCTTTTTGGAGATCATATTTCAATATAGGGATCGTATGCTCGGAACACTTTGCACAAACCAAACGACCACAGTGCCTTTAAAAATGTTTTTTATTGCTAAGTACAAAAACATACTGCAAACTTTCATGTTTGGTGTTATGCTGGACCATGTTACGTCAGCAATTTCCACTGCCACTAATTTATTTTACTGAACCACGTTTAAAATTCTGATTGTGAAGAAGGGATTATTAGATTGACGAGATAAATCTGCAGCAAAACTTAAAGGCCCTGATAAGTTATCAGGAGATTAAAGTATCTTAGAGTAGGTTCCTTGTAACCGGAAACAAAGCGGACTGAGTGTGTAGTGAAAGTGAAGAAGGAGGGAAATATTCAAAGGTAACAAGGAGTGCCTGTCCTTTCACGATGGCTGCCTCTGAATCAAAATCTGGTGAGTAGTACTCATACACATCTCACAGGATTCCAGGTAATGAGAAGTCGAATGACAGTGCGACAAAGTTGAAAATACTTCAACGCCGCAAAAAAAGTAGAAAGCTACTTTCCCATAAATAATATTTTTGAATGAGGAATTTTGAGAGACTTCGAGGAAGACATGCGCTACTTCAAAGCTCTTCTTACAAATCGTGAGTTCCTTTGTTGGGGAAGTATTCCTTTGAGGTTGTACATAGAAGGCATTTTATATGACCAGATAGATTTCGAGTTATGGAGAAATAGGATTTGATAACTGTGTCAGACATTTCAATCTTTTTACTATCGCAATACTTCCTCGCTTACCGACAATGGTGTTTTCTTATCGTCAAGGAGAATTTCGCCTCACATTCTGAACATATTTCACCTTCTGCCCATCTTGGTTCTTTTATCAGGCCATCTAAACAAACAATTATATTGTACATTGATAAAAGAAAATAGTGGAAACTACTCCGTTCAAAATTTTTGACTTTTTAAAATCACATTCACTTCCTCGCTTTTAATGCTTCTGAAATTAGGAATTCCAACCTCCGTCATTTAAATAAAAACTTATAAGAAGCAACTGTCTACGTCCCAAAACTAAAACTTACCAAGTAAAGAAAAAAGTAACTGCTTTGTTGGAGTTTCAAAATTAAATACAGAGACACCAAAATTATTAGTTACGGCAAAACATATATTGTATCGTAAAAGTGATCTGCAGAGTTCCGCATTTCCATTCATATAAGCTAGCAAAAACACTGCAAATAGATAATTTTTAAAAATACAAATTTAACGCAAAAGAAAAGCAGTGTTAAAGGTGCCTACATGTATTCCCATTTGAATCTTGAGCATCAACAGGATAATCAGGATCAGCGTTCATAAATACTCTCAAAATTTCCACAGAGGAGAACGATGAAGCTTCATTTGCGGCAAGAATAAGCGCAGTTTGTTGTCTAAATAAGTTTGATAAAACCAGTACCTCGTCCTAGCAAACTGATAAAACTTTCATCGACTAAAGCGTATGAGCAATTAGAAAAGCTGACTTTTTATTGACAGTACGAGGAACAACATCTGACTCTTCTATCAACAATTTCACAGCCTCCGTACTCCCTTTCAACGTAGCTGAATGCAGTGCTGCAAAATTGAATAGTTCTTCCTCACCACACTGTTGCATTCAGAAACAAATAATTTATTGCTTTGTATAGATCATAAAGAATCCATAAAAGGTGTGGAGACTTTTGTGATACAAAACTTTGAAGAAAATATCTTTTTAAACTTAATAACATTGTTACAATACACTTTACAGTTTCTCTAAGTACTATACTCTGAAGTTTTCCCACCAAGTCTTGCCTCATTCGCAGCTTTTCAGTTACAGTGATTTAATGCATGTTCGGCAGAAAGCTGTGATCGAATTTTAACTCTTTAAGGCTAAAAATTATTACTGAAACAAAGAAATAACTAGCGCAATCAAATAAAAGAAAATAATATCATCCTGACAGTCTACTCACACGATAAAAATTCAACAAATTTTTTTTCAGATACTCCGTATCTCTTGGTTTCGAGATAATATAAGAAGGAATATTAACAAAAAAGAATTTGAACGAAGAAACAAATGAGGAACACATGGACTACGGTGGTAAATGATTTAGAGCACATCTTGGTATTTTTAGTTAACAGCTAAGTATACAGTTGAAAGTTGTAATTAAAAACTCATCTTTACCGGTATTGCCATTTTGATCTACCAATTTGGCCGACGCACCATTCTCTAACAGTATATAACAAAGTTCCCTCCGATTATGGTAAGCTGCAATATGGAGAGGTGTAAAACCTTTCGCTGATGTCGCATTCACATCTGCTCCTGCTAAAATCTACAACTTCGAATTCGTTATCTAACTGAATTACGGCAGGCAACTTGAGTTTCTGAGAAACGCAGATCAATAATAACAGATTTAAAGATACTAAGAGAATTAAAAAATCCAGAAATGCCAACCAAGTTACGCATAATGATTTCATTGCCATTTTCCGCACACATGTGTAACGGTGTTAAACGAGATGCATTTTGTGTGGGTACATTGACATTAAAATGCAGTGCTAATAAGAACAAAACGCTTTCAAAGTCCACAGCTTTGACCATATTGTGCAGCAAATTTTCACCGTTGCCGTTGAACTAAATTTTACACTCCATACTACAATAAGAGCTTAAAAGTTTCAGTAACCGTGAAGACTTGGTCAGTAGTTTCACCTTCTCTTCTGTGACAGTAGAAGTTGAAAAAAACTGGTCAAAAACTACTATTGATAAACCACAACAAATTTTTGAAAACAAAGATCTAATTAAAATTTAGTGCTTTAATTTTACCTGCATAATTGCACATGGAGCTGCACTAACAATCGCTTCGGCGGCAGCATTATTTTTTACCTGCATTGCAGTTACGAGAGGTGTAGCACCGTATCGGTCTCGTAGAAACAAAAATGAAATATCATTTTTATTCAGTATCATTTTTAACACCTCGTCGTATCTTTTTTGTACAGCAATATGGGCTGGTGTTCTCCCATCAGAATCCTAAAATAACATTACAGTTGTAAAATAAATAAAGTTTTTAATACTAAAAAGCTCCTATAATACCTGTGCTCAAAATAATCCAAATAATATAAAGACAGTGCCGAGAATTCTGCAAAATATGTCGTCAATTTCAAAAAAATATATATATTGAGAACTACCCAACTCATATTAAGTACTAACTTGACTTCCAATTTCGGCACCATTTTTAATCAATGCGATAGCAACTTCTTCAAGACCTTTTTCCAAACAGATGTGTAAAGAAGTACGTGAATCCTGTGTATCCTGCTTACGAAATTTCCGCAATGAATTAACGTCGCACCCACTTCAAAAGCTCTGACTCAATACATTCCAATTCACTTGAATATGTAAAGAAGGAGAAATACCACATGTCATTCTTTTTCCAAAAACTCTCGAGTTAAATTAACCGTGGTCGATCAAAATTTTTCTTTTCTTTTTTGTTTATAATTTCTAACTTTCAATTCCAAAAGTAACCGACTTTTCTATCAAAAAATTGGCTGCATCACTCATCTCGTTATTAATTGCTTTGTAAAGCATAGTTTCTGAGCAAAATTCTTCTTTATCATCAATCAAAACTTCTAGATCGCAACCATGTTCCACGAGCACATAAGCTACATCGTAGGACCCTAGATCAGTTTTACTGACATACAACTTTTAATTCTGCTATTCAGAAAAAGCGGAAAAAATATGTCTTTTGAAACGCAAACTTCTTTTATACTTGACAAAATACCGTTTTCAAGAGCCGTCCATAATGGTGGCACAGCAGTAACAGGGTCTTTAGCATTCAAGTCCGCTCCACTTTTGCACAAACTGCGAACCGCACCTAAGAGGTCTAATTCCACAGCTACATGCAAACAAGATTTGCCATCGACAGTCCTGGAAGTCGCTGATTTCAAAGATCTAACGCTACTTTTCAGTTTTCTAACCCTTACCGTACACTTGCATCTGCCCCATTATCCAACAAAAAAACGGCAGCCTTGTCGTTACCACTCAGAAGTGATAGTAGAAACAAAGTTTTTTTGCCATCGGTTTCATTAATATCAGCTCCTGCCTTGATTAAAATCTTAGCACAAGCAAAGTTGTTCTGGAGCACAGCCTTAGCAAACGCGCTTCGATTACTTTTATCTTTTACCGACAATGGCAACTCTGGAAACATCAAAGTAATACTTGTAATATAATTTTTAGAAACCTGAGTCATATTTGACTGAAAAAAAGTTTTAAAACAACAAGCAAATTACACTTACTTCCATCGTTCCTTGTTTCTAAAATAATTTCCAATATTTTTTCACCATTCTCGCAATCTACAGCGTAATGAAAGATTGTAGAGCCATCTTTATCCAAAGTTAATGATAAATCAGCACCATATTTCAGCAAAAGGCGAAACATTTCTTCATTAAAAACATCTTGATGCGCAGCAAGATGAAGCGCGAACATACCCTACACAAGAAATTTAGTGACTTTAAAAGAATCTTTTAACAAAAAGCGCTTACCTCACGATTTGGAGAGTTAATTTCAGCATTCTTTCTACACAAGAATTGTAATGCACCAAGATCACCTTCTTTAACAGCACGATGAATAAGTGACTCTCCTAAAGACAACAAAAGAATTTCAACAGCAGATTTTCTAAGATTAAAATAAACAAAAGACCTATCTCAATCCAATATTCATTTAAAGGAACAGTCAAAAACTAGAAAACTTTTCAGCAATAAAAAAAGAAGCATAGTGGCTTTACCATTATACTCAGAATCAACAATGCTGCCACAGTCCACAAGGTTGCCAGCTAGAGTATAATCTCTCTTTTCGAATAAAGCAACTGAAAGAGGGGTACGTCCAGATGCATCAATCAAATTTGGATTAACGAATGAGACAGAAAGCAAAAAGTCAATAACTTTCTGATTGCCAGCCTCAACTGCAGTAAGTAGTGGACAACTAAATAAAAGTAAGATAAGGGTCAGGAATACATTAAAACAGTGCTCGAAAGGGTTTGGTTTCAATTCCCTTTCTTTTTGACATTACTTTTTCAAGTGTAATGACAATGTACGTAAGTACTAATTTTTATAAACCACAGGTTAAAAACGACGCATGCCAAAAAAAAAAAAAAAACAAGTTTTTGCTAAAAACTGTGGCAAGAAAGAGCTTGAAAGGGTACACGCAATTACCCAACATGTAAGCCAAGCATGTTTTCCGCTAAACTGTTTCAGAGCTTCAGTATTGAAGAATGATTAAAACCTGGAATGTTTGTCCAAACCATTGACATCAAAAACGGAGATCCTATCACTAAACCAGGATACTGTTTCATCAGAGCATTTTGTCTTTGCCAAAACATGCAAAAGATTTTCGCCAGTATTGGGGAGCTGGAAGTCAGTTCGACCACCTTTTGAAACTATGAAATCACAGCAGTTCAGGCGCCCTAAAAATTATGATTTGAATTGACGGCACAACAATTTCAGCAGAACAAAACAAACAAAACGAACAAGCATAATCAGTTCTGAAACACTTCCGAAGAAGTAAAAGTAAACTTGAAAAAACCTATTTTACACTAAGTATGGAAAAAGCGTACGCAAAAAAAACCAAAAAAAGGACTATCACATACCTTCTTATTTAGAAAAAAAAGAGGAAATTTTTTAAACAGCAACTCGCTTATGGAAGTAATAAGATGCCAAAGAAATTTGCCCGTTACCAAACATTCGGAACAATTTAATCATAAAAGGAAGATAAAAGTAATTTTTTACATCAATAAAATAATAAAGGCAAGAAATCCAGCCTAACGGCTTTTTTAAATTTACTCAGTCCTCGTAATTTTTAGGGATAAAGGTTTTAATTTCCTTGATACAAAAAACCAAAAAGTTCATCAAATTCAGTGTCAAATATTGAAAGTTGAAAGCTATGCCATAATATCCTTCATGAGAGCTGAGTCCCACCCAATTCAACAGAAAAGCAAAACTAAGAAGTTAAAACAAAGCGCATAATTATTAAGGTAAGGATTATTTTCAGATAAAGGAAATAATCTGCCTTTTTCAACAGCTTTGACTAGAAAAGTTTTTCCATTTTTGTCAATAATATCAAGGTCGGCGCCATGAGATACGAGAGATGAGGCAATTTCAAAATCATTGACAGCAAAAGCAATATCCAAAGGCAAAAAATCTTTGTCGTCGTACTGATTACATAACTCCCCAGACTAAAAAGATAAAGTAACAAAGCGGTATAACAGTAAATACACAGACTTGATAGGAAAAACCAGCAATTTACCATCTGTCAAGAAGAAATTAAAAATCTTTATCCGAGAAGAGCAAAAGCCTACTGTTTCGGAAAAGTCGACAAAAAACAAGAAAAGCACATCGCCTCTCCGAATACGAATAATCGAATGCAATAAAAACTTGCAGTAGCTAAAAAGTTAAGAAACAAGTTGCAATAAGTTCTCCATGTTAATCATAAATACTGATCAAAAAAATACTGAGAAAATGAAACAAGAAGGCTGTAACTCTAGTGTCTAATAATATCAGAAAAAACTGACAGATAGCAAAAATTAATAAATTAAAAAGTAAATAAAGTTCTAGGCCCCAATAACCAACTCATTCACAGAACTAATAATGATCATATTCTATTTATAACGCATGGTTTGCGACAGCTTGAAGAACAAAATAATTGAATTAAAATAACTAGAAAAATTATGTTACCTTCTAAGAATTCGATAGAGGAGCGCTGCAGACATATCGGTGAAAAGATCAGGGGTGAAATCATTCCATCGGGCTGAGAAAAGTTGGCAACAGGCATTTTTAAGCCTTTCTAGATTTTTTTCCTCACCAATTTCATACAGCCGAACGCAGTTAGAAACATCCAAGCGGCCAATCAAAATCAATTCACATCTGTAAAAGGTTTATAAGTGTTATGAAAAAGCAGAAGCCAGGATGCGGCTGCGCTTCAACACTCGATATCAAACAAATTGATACTAAATTCTTTTCAGTTTCAGTAAGTAAAGCGTTACGATAATCTGCCAAAAAATCCCACTCTAATATTATCTAACATAACGAAAACTCCAGTGGTTACATGTGTAAAAAAATTGAATCACGTCGAATAACAACCTTTCTTGAAGTTCCTGCAACTCGTACTTATTAGCTGCAGACAGAACCTCAATTAATAACGAGTCGCCCAAATGGCCCTCCAACTGATCCGTATACATCCATTTAATAACAATATAAGCAACATTATATGTCAAATCTATAAGTAAATGAAAACTCATATTTTTAAAAAAAATCCTGATAACAGTAATAACCGACGAGACCAATAAAATAACAAAAAGGATGTCAGCAAAAGCTCTTCGTTTACGAACCGTTAAAGTCGATACGATCAAGCACTGACAAGTCGTTCCAATAATTAGTTCGAGAGGCAATTACAAACCTGTGAGCACGTAGTTGATGGCCGTTACAGTGAACGGTTATATCACTGAAAAATTATGTTTACTGCAACTAAATGTAAACTACTTGAGAAAACAGCTGCTTCATCATTAAAAAATTAGTTGTCCCGATGTCGAGCAACAGAAGGCCTTCAAATCTAACGCGACTCTAACCAAGAGTCGCGACTAGTTGAAACCAAAGTTTAAAACTACGAAAGATTTTGTTAATATTCTCCAGAACTCCTAGCTCAAATCTTTCTGTACTATCATATAAGATGATATAAAAGAGCTTAGGCAGCGACCAATGTAAAATGTTTATAAGAATGCCTACACTGCGGTGAGCAAACTGGACCAGAATTTTCTGCCCAGATTGAACGAACAAAATTTCAGCGACAAAAATTAAGCTTACTGGTCAGCTTTCTCTATACAACTAATGTAGTCACTTGAGTTTCAATAATGTGACTGACAACAATATAGTTTGTTAACCATAAGAGCTGAATAAATCGTTGTCTTAAGCTCAACACAATAGGGAGGCAGTAACAGTATGACTAAAATTAGCTATCAGAATACGGACATAACCATTATATACTAAAATAAACCATAATTACCAAATACGTCGAAGGCTTGACAGCTAACCTATATAAATCCTTGTCAAACAGCTGTGACACCATTGTCATCAGTTTCTGCACAAAAGAAACGGATGGATTTACAGCAGTTTCATTGGAATCTTGTGAAGCAGCCACCAATATATCGTAATCTCTTTTCAAATCTGCATAATCTTTTTGTAAGCGTAAATATTCTGCCCTTAGTAAGTTCAAATGTTCGTTCATAAGTAAGATGCTAAATGTATGACTGTTATATAACATCTATCATATTATAACTTGTTGAAACAAACAATAAAGAATAAATCCGCTTAGAATATTCATCAAAATCATACATTAATAACCCAACAATATTGGGTCCATCATAGATCCATCGAGGAAAAAAAAAACAGAGTAAACCTAAATGCAAGAGCTAATCTTAATTAATTTTTGGGTTTTTTTCTCTACCTGATTATATCAAATGACTAGAATAAACTATAAATAAACAGTCAAAACAATTTTCATTGACCTGGCAGAAATTGAGAGCTTTATTTTACAAATAAAAGAAAAAAGCGCAAAAAAAAGTCATCAGGAATATAACAGTAAAATTAAACCATAGGTAGCGAATCTATAAACAAATGTTCACCCGACTTTTTTGCCGTACAATTACGATCTATGGACGTTGATAAAGGAAGAAAGAAGTTTTGTTGTTGAAGTTTCAACACTTCAACAAAATATCAAGTATCCTATCTATGTACATATAAACAGGCATACAACGACTAAAATATAACTTCATATAAACAATAACTGAATAAAATACCAAATATTTCATCTATCAAATAGAATAAAACAAATTTAGAAACAGTGATGATTAATACCAGGTCCAAGCATATAAAATATACATCATTGATCAAAACTAAATGATCGATTAGTTTAATCTTTCGACGATTATAGATTTAAAAACTGTTAAATAATACGGAAAACATTAAACAGTCGTTGGAAAAGAAAAAAAGCGTGAACTCATCTATACTGAAACATAACAACTAAGTGAGATGGTGAAATCTTAGAACTAAGGTAAAAAAGCAAAAGGTTAAGGTTTCAACAATTCTGAAATGTTTTCTGCAGTCAACCAACAACAACGATACAACCAAACAGAGAACGCTAAAATTTAACCTTATTGTCGTCATACCCAATAAATGCTGTAATGGTATTTGTTCCAAATCCTTTAACAGCATATAAAATTTAAAAGATTTTTTCTACCAATGTGGCAGTGTCGGCCAATGAAATGACACAGTTAGAAGAGTAAAAATTCAATTATGATGATAATTTATTAAAAATATAAGTCGTTTTTCCGTCGTCGTCGTCGCCGTCTTCTTCTTCTTCTTATAGACTAACGAAACAGATGAGGTACCCAACCGAACCGTGAAAGCAATCTTTGACATACTCAGCAATATAAAATCTATGCATTAAAACTTGCCTCTTTTTTTCCAGCTTTTTTTGACTTCATTAAAACTTCTCTCTTTCTAGCGTTAACTGCTGAAAGAGGTGAACGGAAAAACAAGGAAATTTTTTTTCTGTTCCTCGCTTAATAATTACCAAAGGTTATACAAATGCTAAAATTAGCTTTTTTCTTTTTATTTTTTGTTTTTGTCAAGGCTCTCCTGACAATGACAAAAAATATATTGTACCAATTTTACTGTAATACTAAAAAAATTTTTGCTCCTTATATACAACCTGAGACTGCTAAATATCCGTGGTTTTTTTGTTATTAAAAAACAATTCTGAACCAATGCTCAACAATTACTCAAAGGAGGTAAACTGAAAAAAAAAGAAAGGTTAGCGAATACAATAAATATATAAACATTTACATGAAAAATAATTTTTTCATTTCTCTTACAAACCTATCAAAACAGCTGATAAGCAGTAATCAGAAGAGAAAAAGATGACATCAGAAGAACATCTATTTTCACTACCAAATATTTAACTCTATCATATGGTATATCTGATTAAAAATTCAGGCTTATTAAAACCCGCAATTGCCAGCTGTTCATTCAGTCTGGTCGCAAAACATTTGACAACTTGCTTTAAGTGTTAATTTTACAGTTCGGTTATAATGCTGATAGACTAAGGACAAGTATTATTTGAGGTAATTAAAAGGCGATTATAAGTTTACATAATTGAGCAGTATACTTATGATACAGGCACCAGTATTCAGATTTACGACTTTTAGCAACTGTGAGTTTTTTTGTGTCGTCTTAACAGTTGACATAAGAAGCAGATTTAGCAAAACAACAGAACACTGTTTTACCTAACCTTTTACTTAAACATTATCTAAAGACAAAAATGGAACCACAAAAAAAAAGAAACGCTGATACCACATAATCAAGATGCCACTTCACGTATTTCAGCTTAATTCTCCAAATCAAGCGGAAAATCTGCACCCTTTGACAATTTCAATCCTTTTTTTCTGTTGAAACAAAAAGAGTAAAAGCGTCGTCAGTGCTGCCGATGCTAAGGTGATATTCGTTCTTAAAAGAAACCAATATCTGTTTTATAAGCAAATTCGCATGTAAAATACAATCGTTGCAAAAATCTAATAATTTTCTTTCTTCAAGTGCTCTATTACATAGGTCAATATTTGCAATCAAAAATCAAAAAAGAAGAAAATGCTTATAATGCAACTCATCTCAAATATACCAGAAAAAAGCAAAAAAAAAAAAAAACCAACCAACAGATTTAACTGACTACGGGCAACCGGTAGTTGAAAAAATTCTTGCTTATGGTTTTTTCCTTAAAACTAGCTTATACAAAAACAAAACAATGTAAAAAAGCAATAATATAACGTTTGAAAGGTAGAGAGATAAAATTAATCAAAGACTTCATGTCTCAGTTTGCTCCACAACTTTTTGTTCTCGTAAAATTAAGAAAGAAATTGTAATAAACTTTGGAATAATGCTCAATCTTAAAAAAAGAAGACAATGTTTGTTCACTAGATGAAGTATCGACGGATCATCGTCGAATTATACCAAGTAAGAAGCCAGTAAAAACAATCGTACCATAAGAAGTGGTTTTTGAAAAAAAAAAAAAAGAAAGGCATATCCTTCAGTCAGTAACCCAAATTTAATACAGGACATTTCATAGGCGAGAACCATACAGGCAATGCTTCATTAAACAAATTTTTTAAAGTCTGTCATCTTAAAATTTAAACCAGCAAGCGACCAAAAGCAAAAACTGATATCATCTAAAAGAATTGATACACGAACGGTATTTCAGCAGGAAAAAAATTAGGAAACTGAGACAAATCAGACAGCAAACTGCAAAGGTAAGAAGAAATTGTATAGAGTTCTACAGCCGTTCCCAAAACATACGATGGAACTAGAGCTGTCAGGCATGTACAGCTGAGCTGTCGGTGATGTATATTATCAAAATGCAGTATCAATCCTGCCGGAATAACAAAACTGCACGTGAAAATTTATTCATCTTTCCGCATTACGATCGCAGTTTTTGGTGAAATCCTAAGAACGAGAACTTTGGAAGCAAAAAACTAATATTAACAAAAGTATTACCGTGAAGTAATGGTGATAGAAATTTCCTAGCAAATTATGTCAAATGGCAATTTTTATTGGAAAATGAAGACTACAAAAAAAAATGACAATGTTTTGTCGCCTGTCTTATGGACAAAAAAATGGCAAGTTTTTGTCTGCAAGTTGACAAAATAAATTAAAACTGGAACCCTACAAGAGCAATGACAAGTGAATTCGTCACCGTTTATGTTATGACTTCCTGTATCCAGTGTAAGAATCACACCTTTGGTACCTTCTCCCATGATAGTTGAAGTTGAATATTAGCAGCACCGTTAATAGACATTACTAAGAATAATTCTGTAATATGTCTGTTTAATATCTTTTGAAGCCATTGAGCTAATCGTGAACTTTTATTTGATGCGAAAACTACAAGTTACAAACTCTGTCAGCAAAAAAAAATTTGCCTAATAACAAAGAATAAATTTGAGACTTCTCACAAATGTCGAGGAAAAGCTGTCAATTGAAGAACACAAATAAACTCTGTATCATTCCCTTAAATTTTTTCCAATTTTTGATACCAGCTGAAACAATCGGCAAACTTCTAATAAATCAAATAATACTCAAATTTCCAATTTGATTTTGCAGTTCCCTGATTAGATATAAGCTATTCCGGTTATATACGATAAAGTTATAATTACTTGGGGTCGCAGTTATTATCGCACATTACGACACCCGGTCTTTTACTACACTACTGTCGCGGCAACGGGCGAAATGGATTCAAGGTTGGAAGAGGTAAAGGGACTGAACATAACCCGGAGAAGATGCTCTTAGTAGTCGTGTTACTAGATTGTTGCCGGAGAGGCGTATAAAAGAACAAGGTGGATATAATGAGCCAGTTCAATCAGAGCAATATTTAAAGCTCGTGGTTGTCCCTCGATAAGTTCTCTCGTCTCTGTGATTCGTCTTTTGCATGCGCTTGTGCAGCTTTTAAGCCTTTTAGTTTGTTTGATTTTAGTTGGATTCTTTATAGTTCCTTTGTTTTTTAATTTGTTTGAAGTTTTTTGTTAATAGTTGTTGTCGTAATTCTTTATTATTCTCTTAAGGGTCACTAAGGGTCTGTCTGACCAGTGTTCCTTTTCATTTAAAATTTAAACTGGGTACGGCAATACTGAATACGTTAGTGGGCACGTGCTCAGTGACTTTTATATACGTACCTGTATCGTCTCATCTCCACTGTTCGCTTAGTCGGATTTCAAATTAATAAAGAATTATTAAATAAGATAGGGAATCCAACAACGTCACCACCTAGTACACACCCGAAGCTACATACAGTCCTCAAGTTAATGCTGCAAACGTTGGTAACTACAATTGCATGCAGTGAATCAAAGGTAGAAGAAAGGGCTTCCATAGGAATCTTGTAGGGGAGTTGCGATCAATTCCATGATTAAAAGAGCTTGCCGGCAGTTGCGACAGTCACTGAATCCTCGTACTTTTGTTTCATGAGCAGTGATAAAACAGTAATCTTACTCTGCAGGAATACCAATAACTCCAATCTCATTTCTTCCTAATAAGAAACCACATTATATTTCCGAAACTTCTTTCCTTCGTAATAACTTCAAAATATTGCTGACAAGTTTTCAAACTTAAATAGTCGACCTCTTCACCTGTTTAACTACTAAATCGTGTTAAACCATAGAAAGTATTTCGTAATTTTCTGCTAAATGAAGCAGGGAAAAAAATTAATTTTTTGGTTACATACCCAAGTCCAGAATTTCACATCTTTCCTTATAGAAGTGTTCTTTCAACGATTAAAAGATTTTAAAAATGTTACAGAAAACCTTCTTCAGTAAAAAAAATGTAGTTCTCTTCCGCGTCCTGACAATGTTTCTCCGTCATCTAAACTTAGGAAAAAGTCTTTCCCGTAAAAAAACCAGAGCTAAAAAAGATCCTGATTCCACACTATTCTTCCGTTGAAACTTTTTTTTATATATATTCCTTCAGCCATGTTTACTAATGAACAATTTGCAATGAGCTCCTGCTTTTCAAATGCCGTTATCTTTCGGTCTAATATACCAGAAATAAATGCTCTGCAGTCATTGTTTCATTGGTTGCATTTTTAAAAGTATAAAATGAACATGACTTTTACAAATCAGTTTCCGCATTCCCCTATAAGGCACAAAGGTCACACAGCCAGCGGCACAAAATAAATTTCTGGCATCTCAAGTCTTTTTACAGTTAAAATTGCAATCTTACAAAATTTTTGTCCAAGCCTGTCTACATTTTCAACGTCTTATCGTGGAAAGTTGCTTTAAGCCATGATTTTTTAAACCTCTAACTTCAAGAATTATAACAAATTTAACTGACAGTACTTGATGGAGAAGAATTATAAAAACATAAATTGGTTCAGAACAAAATAGCTTAAGGTCTGGAAAGTTTAAAAGCAAAAGAAAAAATGCACATTAGTCTTCCTCTCTAAGCAAAAGTTATTAAGTAATGTCAAGCAATAAAGAAGCAGCAAAATGGTAAGGAAAAACCCAAGACTGACATTTTCAAAAGCAGAAGTGAATGCAGAAAAAGCACAAGCAAATTACTACTGCCCAAAAATTTTGCAAAGAACCACAACCTTCGTGAATTAAAGTTCAAAGCAGTTCGAAAGTTTTCTGTTTTGAAATTCCTCTAGCAAAAGATTTACCAGAATTTTCCAGTTTTCACTTGTTCTGGTACAGCCAAACCATCGCGGTATTTAAATTACACGCAAACTGATCATTGCCTTTTAATTCAATCCGATTTGCCACCATTAGACAATAAAACATCTCTTAAACCCACATTATTTTGTGTTTTACATAAAGATTAATTCTTAGCAGAGGCAGTTTTTTTACAGAAACGTACAAAAAAGTATACAATTTCTCTACCATAGCAGAACTTGCAGAAAGGCTTATGCACACTGCACACTGCAGCACTGCAGCGTACGACTATGAAAAGAAACAGCATCTGGTCACTGCACCCAATGTCCTTTCAACGTTTAGGGAAACCAGAATGCAGCTAAAAGACGCAAGAAAGTCTCATTTCCTCAAAGGAAGTGCCTGATAAATCACGCAAGAAGAACCGTAATAACAATATTACGACAAGAAACGAGAAGACTGAAATTTGAAGTTTCCCCATTTTGGACTGTTTCATGAGTAACGATTCGACGAAAACCGAGTTGTCGAGCTACAAGTTGTTACGTAAGACACCAACATCTCCATGTGAGCTCAAAGTGTTTTACAAAATATTAAAAAAGTTCTATTAGACTGAAACAAGTTAGATGTGACTTACGACGAATTCAGCTTTTAGCTCGTAAAATTATAGCCACAAACGGAAGTGCCAGGGAGTGCAGTCAACAAAAAAGAGCACCCAAACTGATGGGATATGACGAACAAGAGTCGGAAGCAAAACCTTCTTATAACTTGCTTAACAATTTAACAACCTTTGTTTAAATATTATTTTTATTTCCATTCTCCATGCCTTAAACTCTTACACAGCCTACAGAATTTACCTCTTAAATATAACTCAAAAACCCTACTTTTGACTTCCAGTAATTCAAATAACTGCAGCTTCTCTTTCTTTCCAATACTGCTGTTATTTGGCTTTTCTTCTGTACATCCCCCTACCGGTTATTAGCAAGATACCTAAATGGTTGAACCTATATGATATTTAGTGGGAAAAACCGAAGTCAGCATCAGACGCTCCTAACCCCTACAATAAGCAGCCTTATAAAAGGTAATATCAAGTCCGTCAAAATCTAGCCAGCATGCGTCCGAGGCAAATGCCTACTTGGACTACCCCGTGTCCAAATTCTTCTGAAATTTTCGTTAAACTCCCGTTTTAAATGGTCATGCTCAACGTATATGTTTTAAAACCCCATACGCTCAACCATTTCCAGCAAAGCGCCGTTGATGTCCTAGGATGTTCTCCTAAATAAGAAGCGGTAAACGAAAATTTGTTAATTCATTTGTTACTGACAGCTACACGACGTCTATAACCATACAACACAGACACAGGAATGCTTCGTCTGCTGCATAAGGTCATCGAAAAAATTGAATCAACAGGGACAGAACTCGAAGTACAGCAGCTGAGAGCAGCGAAACAAAAAGAATCAGGTAAGGAAAGATTCCAGGGACCAGAAAATATCGTTCCCGTCAATACGGCTGCAAAGCGCACAGTTTGATGTCATTAGTGTTCGTTCAGTGTTCGTACCGCGGGAGTTCAACTTTAACACTTACCTTGTCATTCTTTCTTTGCTGTCTCTGTTTTATCTAACTTTTTTTTTTTTTTTTTTTTTTTTTTTTTTT